TGAGAGCCCTGGTGGTAGCCGTGTTCCCAGCAGGGAGTGGAGCTGGGAGCCCGGGCAGAAGCTGGGCTCAGCGGGGAGCTCCACTCAGTGCTGAGAGCCCCCCACACTGCCCCTCTGACGTCGCTGGAAGCGTCCTGGTGAGGCCGTGCACCACTGCCAGAAGGAGGGTTGTGTGGACATGGAAAAACCACAGTAATTACAGCTGTAAGTTGACCTAACATCGGTCAACATAAGTTTGTAGTGTGGACATGCCCTGAGACGCAAGTGAACTCAGTCTAAGCTTCTAGGAACTCCGATCTCACGTGTCTGGGGGATCAAGCAGATTAAGTTGTTTGTCAAGGGAGTGTGTTTAGTTTTCCCAGGTTTCTGGGGTCTCACTGGATTTCGTTTGGCAAGATATACAAGGCATTAGGTATATTTGAACCCAGCCCTTCTTGTGCTGCTAGTCACAAGGTAGAAGGTTACATACAGAGGGGGGAGCAACGGAGAGTCTTGTGGCACCTGTAAGACTAGCAGATGTATTGGAGCATAAGCTTTCGTTCGACGAAGTGGGCATTCACCCACTAAAGCTTATGCTCCAATACATCTGTTAGTCTTAAAGGTGCCACAGGACCCTCTGTTGCTTTTTAGAGATCCAGACTAACATGGCTACCCCTCTGAAACTTGATACAGAGGGGGGACAGCTGTATTCAAATTAGGCAAACTTTACTCTTCATTAGAAGCACAGGTCACATCCTCATTGGTCCATGTCAGCTTGTAAAGTAATAACCAGACGCGGAACCGCCCATCGGGAACTGAATAAAAGCAGCTGGATTTCCCTTCCCAAGCGCAGTCGCCCACAGACCGTGGCAATAGCGGAGAACAAGGCTGTAGCTGTTGAACCACCTGGAAGCGAACTGAAGTTTCTGCCTATCTCACAAAACCGGTGACTGAGCTGCCCAGGTGAGCTGGAGAGTCCCTCTTCACCTTTCCCCAGCTGGTCAGTAGCCTTTGTACCTGCCGTCCCTTTCAGCCAAGCGAGGACATGATCCTCCTAATGTCAACCCTTCCCAGAGGACGTGCACCGAGCTAGCAATTCGGTGAGGGTGCAATTCACCCCAGTGCCATGAGCCAGCCACAGAGCCGGGCTCCAGCTGAGTCCTCAAACGAGGGTGGCAGTGGCACTGCGATGGTGATTGGGCGTCTGCCCAAGGGAATTTCTCTCTGTGATGTCAATGCACAAGGAACAGGCAGGATTTTCTGACAGGTTAACCCCGGTTGTCTAGGAAGGATTGTGAGTCAACTCTCCCATCTTTGGCCAGTGCTTAAGCCAGTCAGAAGACAAGGCAAGAAGCTGGCTGTGTGACCGCTTTCCTCCCTTCAAGGGTCTGGTTTTAACCCCATTTCATCAAGCCTCGGGCAGTATACCCACTTGTGCCCTGTCCGGTTACAGATACTACAGCTTAGGTTTTTGGGATCCCTTGGAGATGGTCTTCCCACATTGACTATCACCCCTGGTTTGCATTTATTTGAATCCCAATTCATGGTGCCCCCCATGTGCCCCCCCTTGGGGCCCCAACCTGGGCGAGTCACCCTTTGTTTTGTTCTCACCAGCGGACGCACTGTCCACAGATTCATCTGCCAACTGGCGTGTGCTATGAAGATCCTTGGGCTCCCTGTCCACTAGCCACAGTTTAAGCTCATGGGGACATACCCCATAGCTCCAATCCTACCAGGTCATCTAGTGACAGCTCCACCTTTACCCCATTTGTGGAGATGTTCTCCCAGCAGGGTGGTGGCTTCCATACACGTCACATGTTGGCTCTTCTGCACACCCCAAAACCTTTCCCTCGAAGCCTGACTTGTCAATTCAGACTTAAGCAGTACAGCCTTTTTGAACTGTCTGTACCCCCTCCCCCAACTCCACCCATCTGGCTGTACATCTCTGTCGCTTTGGGGTCCAGTAAGGAGGTGAGACAGCAGAGCCGGTCCACAGGGTCAATGTGGTTCAAATCGCAAGCCTCCCCACAAGGCAGGGAGATATTTATATCACCCCCACTTAAACTGGGGCAGCAATTTGGTATCTAGGCTCCCTGTGGAATTGGCTTCCCATGGTCTCTCTGCACTTACTCCTCGATGGGACCTCTTGTTCTCCTCTTCTCCGTATCCAGTTCATGCTCTCCCTGCGTGTCCTGGTTTTTCTGCTGTTCCACCTGGTGCTCTCGCTGCTCCTCCTCATGCGTTCACTGTTTGTATCGATCAGCTCTCTCCCTTTTGGGCCTCCTCCAGCTTCCTCACTTCCAACTCTCACTGCCCCAACTCTGGGGTGGGAAATTGGGCTGTGAGGGAGCCATGCGGCTGCTACGGCTGCTGCCTCTGTCATCCCCGGACTCTGTGGGGAACTTGCCTTCTCCAGCTGGGCAATCAGCTGCACCTGGTTGAATTTCCCAACACTTCTCTTCTCTCCCTGCACAGCTCTGTGATGCTCTCCGCAGGGAGGCAGGTACCTGCAATTTTCTTGTTTGTTTCCTTTGACTAACCTTGTTTGTACTGCTGCAAGTCACTCGCTGCACAATACTCCTGGTGCATTCAGTGTCCCACCCCTGCCACCAGCTGTCAGGGACCCACAGGATCTGTGCTTTGCCCCAGCTTCTAAATGTCCCTGGTGTGCCGGGTCCCACTCTTCCTTAAACATAGGCCATGCGCCTCAGTGCCTCTGAGACTGAGCCTCTGGGCTCCAGCACTTCTGTTTCCCACTGTGAGCTCTGCCCAGCGAGTCCAACTGAGATAGACTCCTGGTCAGAGACTTTTGCCCTCTCCAGGGATCAGTGCAACTCAGCAAGTTTAACCCTATCTGTGAATTTCCTAAATGACCGATATGTGCTCTCAACCTTAACTAGGGTACCTGTGGTTCCACTAACAGGTGAATTTCCAGAGAAACTAGAAATAGTTTGATAAAGTTTCTCAACTCTAACTTTCGAATGATCTTTGGCTGAGCTGTCACTGACGATCCCATAATTAGATTGGCATACAAAGCCTGATTGGCAGATGGGTAAGTACCTGTTTTAAAGGATCTACCCACCCCAAGACAGGTTCTCTGGGTAAGCCACGTTTTGTCCCCAAAAGGCCAGTGGAAGCTAATCTAAGAAACTGTCATAAACACAGTAGGATGGTCTAGTGGGTGAGGGGGGGGGAAATAGACTTCAAGGGACCCTGATTCTATTGACAGGTCTGCCCCTTACCTGCTTCAGGATCTTAGGTTGCGGGCTCTCTGTGCCTCAGTTTCCCTCTCTGTAAAATGAGGACCATCCGGCGTGTGTGAGCTGCTCATCTGAAACTCACTATGGCTGTAGTTTATTCTGAGTAAAACATTCATGTGATCTTCTATGTCGACAGTGCAAGGATGGAGTTTCTCTGGCATCTACTAATGGCGATTGGGATCCTTGCAGGAACTGGGGTGTCTGAGAAATGCACCCCACCAGCAGGGGGTAAGGAGCTGGCACAACTTGAATGGAAACTTGTTCCCTTTTATGTTCTACCCCATTCCCTTCGGCCCCAACCTCTGCCTAGTGAGACAGCAGAAACCCTGGGACACTCTTCCCACCACTGACCTGGGCAGGGGCTCAGCTGGGTATGGGACATGGGGGGACTGAGAGGGGCTCTGCCTGAGTGAGACCCCAGCACCGACCTGCTGTCACTCCTGTCCCCTGGGGCCATGACTCCCACTGTGAACCTGGCTCTCATGCAGTGGCTGGTTTGTGTGTCACTGCGGGGAAGCGGCTCTGGCTCCGCATGGGATAAAGGGTGTCTAGAGCCCCCCAGCAGAGGCGGCGGAAGCTTCCTAACAGGTGGGGGGGGCACCAGTGCCTGAACTGAGACCACCATCCTCATACCGCCCCTTCCCCCCGAGTCTCTGCTCCTGCACCGCCTCTTTCCCCCCTAGACTCCGCCCCTCCCCCTGCTGCTTGTCCTTATGGCCAGTAAAAAATGGGAGGGCCATGTTCCCCTGCCCCCACCTTCTTCCGGCACCCCTGTACCCTAGCGATGGGCACGTCCCACTTCCCCTCTTCCTGCCCTTTGATTCCAGGTCAGAACTTGGCGCTGGGACACCCGGCCATTCAGTCATCCACATACGATCAATACGAGCCTGGAAAAGCCGTGGATGGAAAACACAGTGGGATTTTAAACGATCACTCCTGCACCCATACCCAGTGCGAGCAAGAGCCGTGGTGGAGGGTGGACTTGGGCGGTCGTAAGTCTGTCTCCACGGTGATCGTGAAGAACAGGGAGGACTGCTGTGGGCAGAGACTCGAGGGGGCCCAGATCCGTGTGGGAGACTCCCTGGACGACCATGGCAAGCACAACCCCATGTGAGTTGCTTCCCCATCCCTTGGAGTGAGACGACTCCAGCCAGGTCAGACACAGGGGTATCGTTGTCCGCTGGGACCAGCGCTTGGTCTCTTCCCCTTCGAGCTGCCTGGGGCTGGGGGCGCGGTGCTGGCGGTGCGCTCAGCTCCTGGATGGACGGGAACCGCATGTCACTGAGCACAGCGACCCCTGCAGGGCAATCCAGGGTAGAGCCGATCTCTCTCCAGGCCCCTGCATGTTCTCTCTCTGCCCTCGCAGCTCCTGCCCAAGTAGGATCATCACATCCAAGGCAACAGGAACAGATTTTTCTGAAATCCATCAATTTCTAAGGCCTGAAAGGACCTTTCCAATCATCCAGTCTGACCTCCTGTATCTCACGGGCCAAAAAACCTCACATAGCGATTCTGCATAGAGCCCACAATTTCTCTGTGAGGTGCAGTGCATCTTTTAGACAGACATCCAATGTTGATTAAAGACTGCAAGGGAAGGAGAATCCATCAAGTCCCTCAGTAATTTGCTTCAGTGGTAAATGGCCAGGGCTGATAAAAATGTGTGCCTTATTTCCTGTCTGAATTGGGTTGTGATGGGGACTAGAGCAGCAGCATCTCTTACAGTGTTCCCTTCACCCCATATAGATACACAGAGATGTAGGGCAGGAAGAGATCTCAAGGGGACATCTAGTGAATCCCCCAATGCTGAGGCAGGGCCAAATACACCTAGACCAGGGGGAGTCAATTATTTTTTGTCAAGGTCCAAAGTTCCCGGTCAAGGTATAGTCAAGGTACAGATTCCAGAGGAAATAATAAACAAATGATGATAATAAGGCAATAAAAAGATTTCTGGGGTGTGATCAAAAGTGTCTGGTGGTCCAGATTTGGCCTGAGGTCCACCTATTGACTCCCCCGACCTAGAGCATGCCTGGCAGGGGTTAGTCTAACCTCTTCTTAATCCCCTCCAGTGACAGGGATCCCACACCCTCCCTCAGTGACCTGTCCCAATACTGAACTATCCCTAGAGCCAGAAATGTTTTCCTATTATTTAATCTAAGTCTTCCTTGCTCCAAACTAAGGAGATTACTTCCTGTCCTACTGTTGGTGGACATGGAGTGCAATTGATCACCGATCTCTTTGTAACAACCTGGTCTGCTGGTCATGTGCCCTGGAGCGCCACTGACCGAGTGCGGAACTGTGGTTGTGTCCTTGCCTCTGTTTCCCCTCGTGGGCTTTCAGGGAATTCAGTGAGGGTTGGATGTAGTGAACATTAGTGCCCCATCAGGGGTCTAATTTATTTAACCAAAGGCCAAATCACGGTATACAAGCCAGCGTTCATCCCCACAAATCCTAAACGAGGGAGGAGAGGAGTTAACCTTCGTCTGTCTGCCCCGCTTGGCTCCATCCGTCTCCTTCATCCAGGCTCCTTACCTGTAAGCAGGGCAAGATGTACACCAGGCCTGCACAACATGCGGTCCGCATGGGCTCACTGTGCGGCCCACAGGAGTTGAGTAGGTGGGTTCACTGGGTGGCCCGCGGAGGGGTGAGTAGGCAAGTGGTGGGTGAGGGAGGGGGGCTGAGTAGGCGGGCGGGCAGGTAGTGGCAGGGAGTGAGTAGGCGAGCTGGGAGGGGTGGAGGGGGGGCTGAGTAGGTGAGTGGGCGGGCAGTGGCGGGGGTAAGTAGGCGAGCCGGAGGGGTGGGGGCTGAGGAGGCGAGCGAGCGTGCAGTGGCGGGGGGTGAGTCGGCGAGCCGGGGGAGGGGGGCTGAGGAGGCGAGCGGCGAATCGGTGGCTGACCTGTTCTACTGATCTGGTTTGGCTCCCATCCCCTCTCCCAGGGCCGGCTCCAGGCACCAGCAAAACAAGCAGGTGCTTGGGGCGGCACATTTCTAGAGGCGGCATTCTGGTGCCGGCCATCATAGGCGCCGACTGTGGGGCATGGGGGAGAAGTGCCCCCGCCACCCCAGTTTGCCACCCCAGCTCGCCTCCGCTCAGCCTCTGCCTGCTCCCCTGAGCGCGCTGCCGCCGCTCTGCTTCTCCCCCCTCCTTCCCAGGCTTGCCACGCGCGAAGCCGCTATTTCGCGCAGCAAGGCTGGGAGGGAGGAGAAGCCGATAGGCGGGCGCTCGGGGGAGGCGGTGGTGGTGGAGCGGAGGTGAGCTGGAGCAGGGAGCGGGGAGCGGTTCCTCTACCCCCCTGTTACTTCCTGCGCCCCCCCACCCTAGCTCACCTCTGCTCCGTCTGCTCCCCTGAACGTCCAGCTGCTCCACTTCTCTGCCCTCCCTTGCCTGAGAGGGAGGGGGGAGAAGTGGAGCGGCGGCACGCCCGGGGAAGCAGGTGGAGCGGAGGTGAGCTAGGGCAGGAGGTTGTGGGGGGCCCGCAGGAAGCAATGTGGGGGGGGGGCAATGCAGCACGCCGGGGGAGGAGGCGGTGCTGGGGATTTGGGGAAGGGGTGGAGTTGGGGCAGGGCCGGGGGCAGAGGGGCACGAAAAAAAAGGGGGAGCGGCCAAAAAATTTTTTGCTTGGGGCGGCAAAAATCCTAGAGCCGGCCCTGCCCTCTCCAAGGGTTGCAGCTGTCTGGAGGTGCTGCCTTTCACGCCTTCCTCCTTCACATCTCATTCATTCAACAGGGCAATCGATTACAAAGTGGGGGGGGAAGATCTTATTCTACTTCTAGCAAAAAGACAGTTTTCTTTTACCTTAATTATACTAGCTTAAGGGCCCGCTCTAACGAATTACCGAGGTTCAATACTGCTGTTTCGGTGGGGCGGCGCTGGGGAAGGAGGGTTTGTGTCCACGGGGCAGGTGGCGCTGGGGCGGGAGGGTGTTTCAGTGGCGCTGGGGGAGTGGTTTCCATGGGGTGGGCGGTGCTGGGGGGGAGGTTGTGTTTCCGGGGGGCTGGCTGGCGCTGGGGGGGGGCTGGCGGCGCTTGGGGGGATTCGGCCCTCAGTTGTTTTCTTTGGAGTAATATGGCCCTCGCCGCTTTACGAGTTGTGCAGGCCTGATGTACACCTTACGCGCCCCTAGGCACAACATCTTCAGCGCCCCTCCTCCCTGCCCATGTGGCCCCGGGACACTCCAGCAGCCCTGTGTGGCCCTCTGCCGCCTCGCCTGGCTCCAAGAAGGCTGCTGTGACTTGTCACCTGCGGACAAAATGCCCCCGTCACCCGCCTGCCAGCTGTGCGCTGCCACCCGCCAGACCAGCCAGCCTCCGCCAGCTCAGGGGGCTCTGGCGCCCCAGCGACCTCTGGAGGGGGAATGGTGGAACTGCAGCACATTTTCTGCAGAAAAAATCAATTTGACTTCCCTCGGGCAAGAATTCTGCGCATGCTGCAAACGTTACCTAAGGGGAGAGGGCACGACATGAGACAAGCAGTGTGTGGGGCATCTCGGCAGGGCATGGGGCAGCTCGAGAGGCTCCCTCCCTCCCGAGAACTCCTGAGCAGTGCGGCCAGTGTCAGCATGGCAGCAAAATAGCCCAGAATACCACAACTCGCAACTGCTAAAAAAAACCTGCCAACTGACAGCTAAAAATAGCCCAATTGGGTAGAAAATAGCCCAATTGGGTAGAAAATTGCAAACTTGGCAACCTTGGGCACCCCTAGAATGCCGGCGCCCCTAGGCACGTGTCTACTGTGCATAATTGGAAAACTGGCCCTGTCTGTAAGGCCCACTCACCGGGGGCCCCGCTCTGGAGTCAGCCCCTAGAAACATCCCCTCAATTTGACAGTGAACCATTGATAACTACTCCTTGAGTATGGTTTTCCTACCAATTGCGCACCCACCTTCTAGTGATTTCATCTAGACCACATTTCCCTAGTTTGCGTATGAGAATTTGGGCTGATTGATCTAGAATTCCTGATGACCTCCTTGTTCCCCTTTTTAGAGAGAGATTCTATGTTTCTCCTTTTTCATTCCTCTGGGACCTTACCCTTCCTCCATAAATTCTCGAACAAATCATTAATAGTTCTGAGATCACTTAAGAACTCTAGGGTAGATTTCATCAGCCCCTGTCGAGTTGGATACATTTATCTTGTTTTGTCTTCTTGGCTTCTGCTCTGTTTTTAGCTGCGGGACCATCACCGACACCGGTCTGGGATCCGTCAGCACCATCTGCTGCAAGGGGCTGCAGGGCCGCTATGTCACCATTGTCATCCCGGGCAGAAGGGGGATTCTCACCCTGTGTGAGGTCGAGGTCATAGCTCAGGACTGCACCCCACCACCCGGGGGTAAGGAGCTGGCACAACGTGAATGGAAACTTGTTCCCTGTTATGATCCACCCCATTCCCTTCTGCCCCAACCTCTGCCTAGTGACAGAGCAGAAACCCTGGGAGACTCTTCCCTTCCCACTGCTGACCTGGGCAGGGGCTCCAGCTGGGAGCGGCAGATGGGGCAGGCTCCATCTGAACATCCTACCCCATCCTTGGGGGGCTGGATAGCTCAGTGGTTTGAGCATTGGCCTGCTAAACCCAGGGTTGTAAGCTCAATCCTTGAGGGGGCCACTTAGGGATCTGGGGCAAAATCAGTACTTGGTCCTGCTAGTGAAGACAGGGGGCTGGACTCAATGACCTTTTCGGGTCCCTTCCAGTTCTAGGAGATCTCCATTTATTTATCCCTGCCTTGGGGGCTGAGAGGGGCTCAGCCTGGGCTGACACCCCAGCACAGACCTGCTGTCACTCCCGTCCCCTGGGGCCATGGGTCCCCTATGAACCTGGCCCTCATGCAGTGGCTGGTTTGTGTGTCACTGCGGGGAAGCGGCTCTGGCTCCGCGTGGGATAAAGAGTGTCTAGAGCCCCCCTAGCAGAGGTGGTGGAAACTTCCTAACCATGGGGGGGCCACCAGCGCCTGAACCGAGATCCCACCCTCATGCCACCCCTTCCCCCGCGTCTCCGCTCCTGCACCGCCTCTTTCCCCCGCAACGCTCTGCCCTCTCCCCCTGTTGCTTGTCCTTACAGCCAGTAAAAAATGGGAGGGCCATGTTCCCCTGCCCCCACCTTCTTCTGGCACCCCTGTCCCCTAGCGATGGGCATGTCCCACTTCCCCTCTTCCCATTCCAGCTCGGAACGTGGCGCAGGGGCACCCAGCCACTCAGTCCTCCACAAACGAGGAATTCGGGTCTGTAAAAGCCGGGGCTGAAAAGGCCGTGGATGGAAAATGCGATGGGACTATGACTCATTACTCCTGCATCCACACCAAGGACGAGAGAGAGCCGTGGTGGAGGGTGGACTTGGAAAGTCAGCATTATGTCTCCACGGTGATTGTGAAGAACAGGGAGGACTGCTGTGGAGAGAGACTCGAGGGGGCCCAGATCCACGTGGGAGACTCCAAGGATGGCCACGGCAAGCACGACCCCATGTGAGTTGCTTCCCCATCCTCTGGTGTGAGCCAACTCCTCCCAGCTCAGACACAGGGGATGGGTCTCATTGCCACCGGGGCCAGGGCGAGGTCTCTTCCCCTTCGAGCTATCTGGGGCTGGGAGCGCGGTGCTGGTGGTGTTCTCAGCTCCTGGATGGAAGAGAACCACATCACTGAGCACAGTGACCCCTGCAGGGCAATCCAGGGTAGAGCCGATCTCTCTCCAGGCCCCTGCGTGTTCTCTCTCTGCCCTCACAGCTGCTCTGTGCCTAGAATCACCTCATCCAAGGCAACAGGAACGGATTTTCCTGGAACCCATAGATTTCTAAGACCTGAAGGGACATTTCTGGTCACTTAGTGTGACCTCCAGTATCGCACTGGTCAGAAAACTGCACAGAGTGATTCTATGCTGAGCCCATAATTTCAGCGTGAGCTGCAGTGTATCTATTAGACAGACGTCTAGTCTTGATTTCAAGACTCCAAGGGAAGGAGAATCCACCATGTCCTCGGTTATCTGCTCCCTCGGTTAATGACACTGACTGATGAAATGTGAACCTTATTTCTAGTCGGAGTTGGGTTGTGACGGGAACAGGGACACACCCCGTCTCTTACAGTCTGTCATTCACTCCGTGCTTTGGCCTCTGCAGGCTCAGAGTTAAAGGGTCGTCCGTCCTGCTGCCAACTCGCCTGTGCCCCCTAATCTCAGCCTCTCACTCTTGTCTTCTGCTCTTTGCAGCTGCGGGACCATCACCGACACCACACCAGGATCCGTCAGCACCATCTGCTGCAATGGGATGAAGGGCCGTTACGTCACCATCACCATCCCAGACAGGGTGGCAATTCTCACCCTGTGTGAGGTCGAGGTCTACGGCACCCAGGTGACGGATGAGTGCTACTAAGCGGGAGTGACACAGTCCCTGGTGTGGGGAAGCACCTCGCCCTGCACTGGGGGCGGGAGCGGGGAGGTTGGTGCAGGAATGAGCCGCTGTCACCTAATAAACTCCACTGATCCCTTTCTGCGTCTCTCCTGTCATTTGTCTCCATCCTCCACTGTTATGGCCACGTGTCCCCTCCCCTAGGCTTCCCTGCCCCTTCAGGCAACGTGGTTCTTATCCCATATGGGCCTCGGCTCCAAACCCCAGATGGGATGTGGGTTAATCCAGTTCTGCTGCTGCTACTTCCAGCCCTTCCCAACGCCCACTGCCCATTCCCCAGCCTGCTCCCCCCTCTGAGTACAACCCACTCTCTGGCTCCCTGCCCCTTCTCCCAACCTGGGGCTGAGGCACCTGTTCTCCCTTCCCCCT